TATGGCGTATCCATTTCTGTATCCATTCCCGGCCTCAATATCGCGCCTGCTTCGTCGGCGATTCCAGAATGCGCAGGCAAGGTTCTACTTGTACAGCGGCGGCCATGCTCGCTCGCGACTCCAACAGGCGATTCCGCGGCAATGAAATGGCGCCAGATAGGACAGCCGCTATCGGTCAAGTCGGCTTTGCTGCTGGCAGCAGTATCGCTAGTAATGCCACACGCGGGTAGTGCCTCTACTCGTGCTGGCATTCGCTGGCACAGGCGCCCCATCCCTCTGCCGGCAGTCGTTCGAGGCTACCCTGCCGGCGTTCGGTAGTACCAAATGTCTCAGCACATCTCATTGTGCTACCGCCGCGGAGTACTCCGTGCTGCTAACGCCGCTACGTCGTACGGAACTCGAGGAGGCTCGCCCCGAGCTTCATGGCGTGCGAGCATGTACATACTGGCTAGTATGCGGCACCAGTGATATGATCAGACGATTGGGGCCGTTGACTGCAAAGTGCGGAATGCGGTCTGTGAGGGAGCGGCATTTTAGGTCCGCAGACAGGCATCGGACACAGGAGTGTTCATGCATGGTCGATCGATTACTCGGGTTATTGCTACGAATTACGGGCGACGAAATTCAACTACTGTACTACCTACATACTTCTCGCAACTACGGGGTGCTTGCACGCCGCACGCCGTACGGAGACCGGATGTTGCGATATGCCACATCACTCATGTACCTGCGGGCCGCAATGTTTCACTTCGGCCGTTCCTCTCTCTCTTTCTTCTATGGCCCTGTCCTCTTGCTTTCCAGAATAGAAACATTCAGGTGAAGTCAATCTTGCGAATTGCTCTAATCCGCTTGAAGAATGTCATTCAATATTTCTATTTTCACTCTGATGGGCCCTCGGACTGGGTATTGTGGAAATTAGAAAAACCTGACAAGTTACCATTCCGGCGGTGGATCTCCAGATATTGAGGCTTATACGAAGTCTGGTCTCCATCAAGGTGCCATGACTGAGACCAGCAGCTAACGGCTTGGTGGTTCTCTGAAATTACGCTGTTAATGTCGCTCCGGAATATCTGGTGATGGAATTCTCGCCTCAGGCAGTGGCTGAGCTCGGGGTGGACTGTTCATTTCAGAGGCACGGCGCGGCAGCACAGCCGAGTGGTCCAGCTGAGCTAGAAGGGAAAGAAAAGCAATGGCTGTGCACGAGTCTCTGGGCGGCCTTTCTCGGAAGTGTCACTGTGCTTCGTGGACAATTACCGATGCCCGCTGGATTACCTGGCACGGACATCAATACGAGCACGGACCGGCTTGCGAATGACTTGACGGCATCCGGTGGCAAGCGGCACTCCGTGTGTTGTGATGAATGTCATTGTGATTATGATTCCGATACCAACTCTTGCCTCCTCTACTTGCAAATATAGACTCTTGCACGATGAGTTCTGACTACGGTAGTGTCTCGCGGATCGCCTAACAAGCGTGAACCAGCGGGAAGCATGATGCACATTTACTCTTTGCTTTGCTTTGCTTTTCTTTTTTCGCTTCTTCCTCTCCAACTTACTTTTTTTTTTACTGTCCTCCATTCACAAAAGACATGACACGCGTCCTTGGTTCTGACATGTCACTAATATGAGATGCTTCCATATAGCGTGCCGCCCTACTGGCAGCTGAGACAAGGAACAAGTCTCAATGTTGAGCTAAAGCAAGCTAAGGAGCACAGCTTATGACTTCTGACATCTCTTGTTTGCCTCGCAATTCTTCCATCTTTTTTGGTCCCCTCCTCATGTCTGTGGCGTTATGGTTTATTGCGTTTCCTCCCGTATCCAAGGGCAGGAGCCGGCGCCATGATTGCGGATCATGCCTGGTGGAAATGACCAATGTTTGAGTTGCCCGCAGAGCATGGCTTAGCCGCTCCTGTTCCAATGCAACACTACACTACCGTACAAGCTACAGTTTATCTGTCTCGTCTTTTGTGGCCTCTTGATTATTATTTTTTAATCGGCTCACGCGGTAAGACGTGGACTGTAGGCATTAGATCACTTCAGGACCACTCTAGTGCAAGAGATGGGGCTAATGGTATCTCATCAGTCGATTCGAGAAATGAAGGGAGGCTATGGAGTACGAAAAGGTTGGACAATAAGAAGAGCACGACAACATAATAAAAAAAGGCCCATGCATCTCGGCCGATGTCAGCGGAGGATAAGCTCAGACACGGCTCAGGCCAAGACTTTTGATTCAGCCAAGTTGTATGCAGTTCAGATCCTCTACTCGTTATACTGCCTGATCCCATCGTTTTGCACTATGCTGATGGGAGACACACAGGTTCGCGACACTCCGGCGTCCCCCTCCCAACACTGATGCCATGTAATGGCCGTTGTTCACGGGCATTGTTGTGCAACCGCATGAGACAGGCGGCATTCTCATAGCCAGCCGTTGGGCTGGAGGGGTAAGATGCGGGGGGACACAGATCTTGATCACCTCTACTCCGTACACTTGGACGCTAGCACCTGATAACGTGGGCAGCCTCCCGTGCGTCTTACGATGTGACTGCCTCCATACTTGCGGATCGGGCCAATCCTAACTTGCGTGTAATCAAAAGCAAAACCTGCCTTGCATTTGCAATTTTGCCACTCTGGAGGTCGGGGAAGCGCATTGCGAGTGGCCGGTTGGGCCTATATTCCTGCAGAGGACTTGCGTACATGCAACGTGCATGATCAAGTCGGTGCTTTTTAGCTTTGGCCCGTGAGACTGTGGGCGATATTATGGAGAAGCTGTCATGTTACTCATCCTATGCGCTTGGAGCACATGCGAATTTTCTCTTGTGGTTGGTTGAGGCCTGAAACAGGAAAAAAAAAAACTTTGCTTCTTCTGCATCTGATACTAGTAGTATGTATGTACGACCAACAGTTCAACGGCCGAGTGGTCTGACTCCCTTGATTTTCTTTTCTTTTTTCTTCTCCCTTCTCTTCATTTCCTTTCTTCTTTTGTGGCGTGGTTATCACAACGGCTAGTGTGCCGAGCATGTCACTTGTCTAATTGACGAGGCGACTTGTGCCTTTTACCGCCTGTGATGTCAATGTTGGAAGAAAAAGTGCCCTCTACGAATTAAGCGATACGAGCGCGGCTCGACCAGTGACAGACATTGCGGTTGGCTGATTGGTGATGGGGGATTTCGGGTCCTAAGGGAGGAGGGGTCTTGGGCATTGCAGCGGCAGCGGGGATGTGACAATGCAAAGCTCTCCCTACATACGAAGCCGTGTCTGGGTAACTTTTGTCATTGTCTCAATGTTCCCGATGCGATGCCGTCCGCTCGTACTCCGTACGCCTAGCTCATTCCCTCAGACAGAGGCGGACTCGAGACGCCGTGTCCGTGAGGCTGCAAGGGCCCGTGCCCTGCTTTTGGGGTGTGTTTGTATCACGGTTGGTGTTGTCCTCGTACGAGTATGTCAAGCATCGTGATCTTAGCTGCCGTCGGATCTGGGAGAAGCAATTCCTAGTGCGGCCATTCCAACGCATGCGAGCAAGCCTGTAGCGTCTTGAAGTTGCACACGTCACGACTGGGGCGAGAGGGCCATCTCCATGCCATGCTCGTAGAGTCGTAGCCCAGCTGTACAAGCAACAAGCACAGGGCCCGTACGGTACAGGCCGTCATCGGCTACCACTGGTAAACGGCACAATGGACGGTCCTTCACCGCATGTCCCGCACGACGCTGCCGGCTCTCCTCCACCTTCGGCGGCCACGTCAGAAGCCCAATGGAGATGATTATGGATTGCTCCATTCTGCGTGTAGGGTAGGCCGGAAGACCGGCGGGCAGGAAGCTTGACCGAAATTCTCGCGCTCCGGCGCCGGGCCCCGCTTTTAGGCTCCAAGTGAGTGCGTCCAATCGGCTCGCGGCTAGAGGGGCCGGACGTGCTACTGCGCCAGGTCCCAACCACCCGCTTTAATGGTGCTAGGTACATTGGACCAGAAGCAAGCATGCGCGAGCCAGTTGTCACTTCAGCGGCCAGCGCATGAGTGGTTGACCGCCAAAAGCGCGCTGTTGGAGATATGGGGGGAGGGATTGGGGATGGTCTAGGTAAGGTAGGGAAGCAAGAGGACAAAAAGTAACTACCGTTGGCTGCATATGCATTATGCACAGAATTGGGAAAAGTGAAGTTCAATAACTAAGACAAAAGCAAAATAAAAAAGAAAAACAACGGAGTAAAAAAAAAAGATTAAACGGGTCAAACATAACTGAGAAAATTGGCGGAAGGCGGTGGGGTCATGTATGCGAGGGAGGACTTTCCCAGCGCCTAGACGCACCAACATGGAACTGTGCCTTGCGAGGGACGAAAAGTGAGAGAAGGAAGCAGCCAGCGGCGAGGACGTTGAACGAAAGAGATACGAGAGGAAAGCACCAGAAACCCGCGCGACTGCTCCGCAAGAGGCGATATCTTGGATACTCGTACGCGCCTGCCTTGGCAATTGGCCCTGATGACGATGACGAGGACATTTGGCAAGTCGAGTGGCTGGGAAGGTGCGAAGCCCCCGCTTATAACCAGCCATTTGCTTAAACCTGCATCTCAGCTGCGGCTTCATTTTTCTCAATTTTATTTTTGCAAGAACTGCCCTATCGCGGCCTCTCTACTTGTATATTGCTTTTTTTTCCGGCGCTCTGGAATGCTGGAAATAGGCCAAAGTGACTAACAAACTTTCACGGGCACTCCCTTGCATTGATTTTTTCGTCTATTTGGCGGCTTGAGTTATTTCAAGTTGTTAGTTCAACTAAATACGCCAACTCCTTACTGCAAGTGACAGCAACTCCAACGCAACGCAACGGCTCCAACACCGTTTCCTCTCTTTGTCTATATCTTATTGGAGCTTCTTATTTTCCCTTGCGTGGCGCTAGGAACAACCTTCTGCCACACAAGCTGCACGAAGCTGCATCACTTGCAGCCTTCCCGTCCCTTTTCTCCCTCGCGTCTCTTGCTGTCACTCACTTTGATTCCTGGCCCTCCTTGCAGCCATGAGACCCGCGGCGAGCGTTGCTTGCGCGGCTATAGCTGCATTGACGTTGCCCGGAGGTGTTTTGGGGCAGACCTGGAGCCGGTGCAATCCGTTGACAACAGGTGAGTTGATCTATCCCCTCGGGGGTTTTTTTTATTTTTTTTTTATTTTTTATTTTTATTTTTTTTAACATGGAGCTTTTTGGCTGACTGAAGTGACTTTGCGACGCAACAGTTTCATGTCCTGCTGACACGGCTTTGGGCATGACTATCAATGTGGACTTCACCAAGGGCTCCGTTAACTCCTTTGTCGCTTCTGGTGCGCCGACATATGACAGCAATGGCGTCTCATTCACGGTGGCCCGTGGTGGTGACGCTCCACAGCTCGAATCTGTGTTTTACATCATGTTTGGCCGTGTTGAAGTCACCATGAAAGCCGCCCCTGGAGCAGGTATTGTCTCGTCGCTGGTGTTGCAATCTGACGATCTTGATGAGATCGATTTGGAGTGGTTAGGTGCCGAGCCCGACCAGGTTCAATCCAACTACTTTGGCAAAGGCCAGACGACGACGTATAACCGCGGACAGTTCCACAGCGTCTCGGGCACCCAAGCAAACTGGATCAAGTATACCATCGACTGGACCCAGGACAGGATCGTGTGGACGGCAGGCAATTCCGTGTTGCGCACTCTGACCCAGGCCAATGCTGAGGCGAATCAATACCCGCAGACGCCAATGCAGATCAAGTTCGGCTCTTGGGCCGGCGGTGATCCAAGCACCAATGCTCCAGGCACTGTACAATGGGCCCAGGGGCCTACGGATTTCAGCAAGGGACCCTTCAGCATGTTGGTCCAGAGCATCACTGTCACAGACTACTCTACTGGTAAGCAGTACGTCTACAGCGACAACTCTGGCTCGTGGCAGTCCATTCAAGCCGTCGACGGCAAGATCAACGGCAACGCCAACAATGAAAACGCCCTCACCATCACAGCCAGCGCTAGCAATGCTGCCAGTACCCCAACAGCCGTGCTGTCCATTCCCGTTGGTGGCATCGGCACGAATAAAGGCTCAGCTACGGCCACCCAGAGCTGGCCGTGGGTTGCAGGTGCCACTATCGGAAGCATTCCTAGCGGTTGGCATATGAACCCAGACGGCAAGATTGCACGCAATGCGGGTGCGGCCTCCCGCGTGCCTCTGCCGTCGCTGTTGGTGCTTCTGATGAGTCACTTTGCTATTGGTGTGTTGGCCTTTGTGGCAAGGATATAATGAGTTTATGGGCGAGGTAAATGGGGGTTTCATGGCTGATGTGTTGTTAATGAATGGGTGTATATATTGGGAAAAGAGTGTCTCCTACCACGGTTTTATAAATTGGGCAAAGAAGCAACAGACATGTGCTCCACACGGGGATTGCATTTTTTTATGGCGTTGCATTGCATCATGCGTTTTGGACTATTATAGATGGCATCATATATCGTTGTCTTGATATTGAATATGTATATATACTCTATAGATGTAGAGGTGCTCCCTAGCATTTCTAATGAGTCAATGCTATCTTTTACTCATCAATGATGATATATTATCTTTGTATACAAACTGCGGGTATAAGATGAACGAATCACAAATTCTCAACGACGTATGAGAGAGACCAACACAATTTGGTTTTTGATGACACATAATATCACTTCGCCAATATGAACACGTCTTTTATTCCTTGAGTAAGAGGTGTTTACGAAAACACCTGAGCAAAAGGAGAAACGACAACAAAGCTTCTATCGTTGACAGAGAAGGAGAAGCAAAAAAAAGTATCAATAAGCTTGTATCACATGACAACATTCAAATCGAGGACTCGTAAGCATCTAGGTACCAAGCAAGAGGGAGTAAAAAAAAGTTCCATTAAAACAGTACAGACAGCATGGCCGAAACTTCAAGAAAAAAGCTCAGGCCTCTCTCTCAATTCCTCGCTATGATTCCTCGCTATCTCCTACCCCCTCATCGCCCTCACTCTTTGAATGCATCCCTCAGAAAATCTTGTTGTCAGTCGTAAAGAAAGAATTCTGTCCCTTTTCTACCCTTCACTCATCCATCGTCCTAGACTCCTCTGAAATAAGCACTTTGTGTGAGCCCCCAACCGCCCCCCTCCTTTCCCTTTCCGCCGGGTGCGTCCATGTTCCAAGTTTCGCCGTCCACCTCTAACTCCATCGTACAATGTTCGTGGAGCCGTGATAATAAAATAAATACTTATAAGTGTCGTTTTGCTGCGCCGCGTCTACCTGATATGGCCGTATTCTGAGGTGGAAGTACCACCTTTACCGTGACATGTATATATAACGTGAGAGGGAAAAAACCAGTGCGGAAAACAAAAAAAAAAGCAAAGGGAAAAGAATTAAGAAAAAAGCAAAAAACAACTTTTAGCGAAGGAAGAGCAACGTGAATGCTTCGCCTCTTATATCTGTCTTTTGAGCTGATTCTGTGTCTAGAACTCCCAGTCTTCGGCGTCCTCGACTGACTTGATAGCCCATCGGAACTTGTCTCGAAGAGTCTTGGAGAAGAACTTCTCAATAGGAACATCAAACTTCTTTGAAAACACCACTGTCAGACGAGGGTCGATGTAGTTCTACGGCTCATTGTTAGCATTTTCATATTCTTAGCAGCGGTATTGTCGAGGTGGCTTACAATCTTTGAAGTGCCCAGGGCGACCTCCTTGTTGCCATCACGGTCTTCGGCCTGTGTTTCCAAGATCCGGATGCGCTCGTCAATCTTGTCAATAGCGCCCAAGAACTTCTCTACGCTTGCTCCTCTGCCCTCGGCCTCGACCTTGTTGGTTTTGTTCTCCTTTTTGAACTTGGCCTCAAGTTCCTTGACTGCCTGGAGACGCTCCTTAAGCTCCTTTTCAGGCAAAACACGTTCCTTGTTGGCCTTGAGCTTCTCGTTATCCTTCTCGAATTTCTTCGTGATCTTGGTGCGCTGCTCTTCAATCAGGAATTGCTGGTGCTCCTTGATCCATTCGTCATCGAGATCTTCATCCTTCTCAAAGAAGGCCGCGCCCTTCTTCTTCTTCTGAGTTGGATCAATGTCGAGCATCATCTTCTTGGTTCGCCATTTTTGATACCTGAGACCTTTGATCTGACGAGGAGTTAGCATTGTCTTCGTCCTCTCGGTTTTAAGAGGTTATTAAATAAGGGAATGAGACTTACCCGATCTCCAAGCTTTTGCATCTGCTGCTCGTGCCCTGCGCCAACAGTTCGCTTGTGATTGCAAAGAATGGCGACCTTACGGTTACAGTCATTGTAAAGTTTCACCTTCTCTGCAATCGTGCCACGAGAGCGTGGATCTTTCGCGAGTTCCTTGAGCAGCTCAGACATGGTGTAGGACGCATTGTAAGTACGGAAAACCTTGGCAGTCAACCCGGGCATATAGCTGTTGAGATGCTTGTTCAGTTGAGACGTCTGGCATTGGTAATTAGTATTCAGCTCTTCTTAATTCAGATGAGGCGTGTTGTTGCTTACGTTGAGGCGGTCGAAGAGATCATCGCCATCCGTCTTTGGCGCCTTCTTGAACAGCTTCAAGTTCTTGAAGACTTGCGGATCAACACGGGCCGTTTCGTTGTATCTAATACTGTCCTTACCCAGAAAGTCAAATGTGACTTGATCTGGGGGCTGCAAGGTGATATGCTCGTACTTCAGAGAGCAGCAACCAACAGTGTCGGCTTCATTTTCCGTGTCTTTCTCGTTTCCAGCTCTGAGCGCAAGTTTGTCGATCAGATACATGGCTGTTGCGCGCTGACGATCTGCCATGACCTCACTCTTGAGATCCTTGGTGTAGTCACGGCGGATCTTGTCAATGTGTTTCTTGAGCTCACGAGCCTTTTCGAACTTCTTGAAGTCACTCTGTCCTTTCACATCACTGGCAGCTCCAAGCATAACGTACTTGTATGCGCCGTTGATGTTTTCCTGCCACATGGCAAGCCACGTAGCCTTCTGATCATGCTGGACGGCTTTCCACTTGTGCCCTGCTGGCGGAGTTGGCACCTTGGCACCCTTGCCAATATTGATGGTGATCTGTTCCGGCATAACTCGAACTTTGACCTTACCAGTCTTGGGATGTTCGCCTCGCCCACGGAACAAGCTGGGAGGTTCCACTCGGAAGTTGCCAACCTTTTGCTTTCTTCCATCCCACGTACAGTAAAGATACGGAGCCTCGAGCGCATCTTTCTCAGCCTTGGCAGCAGCTTTCTCCTCCTTGGTCATGCTCTTCTTGGCTTCATTCTTTGCTGTCGTGTATTCCAGCATCTTGGAGAAATCGCACTTATCCAAGCTCTTGATGTCAATCTTGTTCCCTTGGGCATCTTTAGCGCCGTGCTTCTTGATGATGTCAGAGAAGTCCGTGAAGAAGTTTTTGCGGAAAATAGGGTTGTCCAAGTGATGAGTAGATGCGGCAGTCATCATGGCCACCCAAAAGGTAGCTACCTCCTCTGCTTCCGGGGCGAGCGAGACGGGTTTGCCATCGTAGTACATCTTTACGTGTTTCGGAAGGGGTTCATATTCTGGCGCGAACAAAACACCGTTGTGCTCGAGGGTTTTCCACTTGATGCTGTCGTCTTCCCGCTTCGGCGCATTCCACCACTCGAATTCCTCCTCCTCCTCCTCCTCGCTAGGTTCCTTGGATTTGGCTTTTTTAGTGTCTTTGGTGTCCTTTGTCGACACTGCCTTCTTTCCCTTGGCGGAAGTACTGGCCGATTTCGACTTCTTGGAAATGGGTGCATCAGAATCAGACTCCTCCTTCTTCAGTCCAGTGGACTTTCTCTTAACAGCCGAGCCATTTGACTGCCGCTTTTTGGCCGCGAGAGGCAAGTCATCATCCGACTCGTTCTTGGGGACCTTCTTCGGCGTAGCCCTTGACTTTGCCTCCTTAGCACGAATAGCTTTAGCCTCCTTCTCGGCCTTCTTCTCGATGTCGGCCTTTTTCTTGGCCAGCTTGACACCTAGAGGCTGCTCATCAGAGGAGGACTCAGGCAGTGCAGTTTCCTCGTAAGAAGGAGGTAGCTTCTTCCCTCTTGCTTTGACCATGGGTTCATCGTCCGAATCGGATTGCTGGACCTTTTTGGATCGTGGTCGTTTTGCCTGAATACCAATCCGTTAGCTAACAGTACCCATGACACCGTTTGCCAGCGTTGTTACGGAGGGAATCGCCTACCAGAGGTTCAGCATCGCTATCCGATCCATCTTTGTAATCGACCTTTGTTAATGAGACTCGTGATTTACGCTTCGCCCCGTTTGTAGAGGGCGAATCCAAGTCCATGTCGCCATTTTCGACAGGTCCGTTACGGATGGACAGTCCCGCCATTCCAGAACCCTTCTTAGGCACAGACTTATCTAAGGCGATGTCTTGGGCGCGGGATATCTTGGAGGATGACACTAGAATCGATGCTGCTATTAGCCAAATGCCAATGCTTACTTGCGCGCGATTGGACATGGATTGATGCGTCTCCCGTAAGCGCCGGCGCAGTCGCAGTCGCGTGTGTTGAGGTTATGCCTGAGTTGGGAAACTGGGAGAGGGAAAAAAAAAGTATCAAGAGGGAGGATGAAGGAGTCTTACAACGCCCGTTTGGCCTCGCAAGAGGCATGTCATCGTCTGAGCTGTCGGTACCCATGGTTTGAAGCGAGGACCAGCTGGCACTCGGCGGACGCAAGGCTCTGAGTGAGGCGCGAGCGACGTAAGGAATGCTGCAGCCGCGATTGCAAAGTGCAAAGCCGAGGGAAACTCGGGGGAAAAGAGAAGAGAACAGATCTGCGAGAATCAGATAAGGCTGGCGAGAAGTGAACCTCGACAGCCCCGGGCGAGAGAAAGCCTGAGGAACGCAGAAAAGCTGGCGGAAAAGAGTGTAAGAAGGAACGCCTCGTGTTTTCGGCTTTGAAAAGCCTTATGCATCTAATCGGCTTCGATGCCTACCCTGCAATGAGGGCTACAGCAATATTCGAGATACCCCACTTTTAATATCTCTGTAGCGGGGGGCTACTGGAAGAGGCGGCATAACACTTTTGCTAATGATGCGCTGCCAACGGCGTTAGTGAATAGCAAGGCTGCACCGCCCGCATCTCGATGGAAGGTACAAGGTACTCCGGACCCGAGCTTTCCCGTCGATTTGCCGGCAAAGTGAGCAAAACTGCAATCACTCACCAACCCGAACTGCATCCCCACGAACACCCCGTCAATTGATCCACGTCACGATCAATTGGGTCTGCGTTGGCCAGAGGGCTTAGTTTGAC